AGATATAAGGAAAACCTTGCAGTTCGGAGACACAGCGGTAAGGTCAAGAAAAAAGGTTTTTCTCAATACAGAAGCTTTGTCTATCAAAGAGCTAATAGATTGGGAGAAGGAAAAAATATCAGAACCAGTGTTTATGTGCCAAATCTCTACATACGATCTTGACAAATAGCTGGTCACTCGCTTTGAAGCTCTGTACTTTCCTCTTCACACGCAATCTTGTGAAAGGGCAGTAAAAGAAGTTACAGAAGCAGCACTTTCCGTTTGTGGTTTTGAAAAAAGAGACGGTTTTGTGAGAGCACAAATGAATAACAGAAAAACTTTGCCCAAGCTTTAATCAAAAAAAAATTTTAATAACCTTTTCATATCAAAATCGTAAACCAAAACATTTTTATGACAATATTATAACTTAAATTTGTTTTGTATTAAATATTGTAAAGCTAAACGGTGTTGTTAAGTTGAACTATAAAAACTTCATTCCAACAAATAAAGTCTGAAAATTTATTATGAAAAAAATTCCAATTTTTATATATTTTTTCAATCTTATAAGGCCTTTTTCCCTGCGAAAATTTATTTTTTTTTAGAAAAAAAAATTATTTATATTTCACAGCATATAATAATATATAAAAAAAAATCTAAATAGTTTCATATTTCAATAATTTTAAAATTTTGACCCCTCTTGCATTTATGCATAAATGAACAGTTTTACCTTTTCGAAAACTGCCATCCCGTCTAGGTAAAAAAATTTTTATTCCAATTTTTTCATTATTGTTCATTTTTACATATAGTGGCACCATTAAAATCATCCGCCGAATTCAAAATCAAAAATTTGAAAAGTATGATGCCCAGGCCCCACAAATTAGGGGCCCCCAAATATTTTAGAGGAGCTTTTTTTTTATTTTTTTATTTTTATGCTTTTCTTCATAAAACAGGCCTCCAAAAAACAAAATACCCGGGCCGTAGGATGTCTGAATCCGTCGCTGGTGGCCAGTGATGCAGTTTTACCAAAATACAACTATCTTACCTAAATAATATTTTGAAAACACTCTAAAACTCTATTAAAAAATAAAATAACATCTTTCAAATCTATATACATTAAAAACTTAACAGAATTTATTTCTTTGTTTTTAACACGTAAGCCACTTTTAACCCAGGTAGCAACTGTTTATGTTGAGAACTAATATACCATCTCTTGCGCCTGGCCTATCTATGGTCATGGATGCAAATATCACTTGTTTTACAGCATGCTCTGTACTTTGGGTAAAAATTTTAACTGAAGGAGTTATTAAAGGTGTCAATCTTAGCAATTACAAGTTACCTTTTGTAAGAAAACAATTTAAAACAGGTTCTTGTACTACAGTATTTTTATGTTTAACTCTTGCTGCAAAGTTCTTTAGGTATTTTTCTTGGTCTGATTCTGGTATCTCCAACAATATCGTTGCCTTGTTGTATCAAAATATGGTAAACTGCAAAGTTTACCTTATTTTGTTCATATTTTTTGTTCTGCATTATTACTAGATAATGAAGACATTCATATACTTTGCATACCAAGCTCCTAGCTGGGCATAGGGTGTCATTCTTTCTTTTACCCTATCAGGTTGATTTCTGAATATTCTCAATTGAAACAGAATGTGGAAGCATCTTTAAATTTGTTTTTTATTATGTTAAAAAAAGTTTAAACTAATTTGTAAACAGAATAAGATAAGTAGCTCTAGATTTTTTAATTTTTACATAGCTTATAATATTGTTTTTGATGTGTTGACATCTTTTTTAGTATTGTTTTTGAAATGTTAACAAAGCTCTCTCCATCTGGACAAGTTTTAAATTGAAGATTATATTCCATTTTATAAATATCAGGATATTTTCCCGTAGGATTTACAAATCCAGTACTAAATGATTTTGGTCCATTAATTCCTTTCATTAGGTGACACGAAAATAACTTGTTTAATCTATAAGTGTTACACATCATTTAGTAAGATTATATTTTTGCTAAGAAAAACAAACAACTTAAGGAAGCTTTGTAGCTGGTTTGTCCGAATGAATACATGCATTCAGATAGATATCAAACACAAAGTTCTATAGCCACAGTAATGTGATTCTCTTGATAATAATAGAATGTAACTGTCCCTTCAAATTATTAGCATGTATTATCTGCATCTCAGACTTTCAACCTGTCTTATATCTTTGACTTTATATCATGAGCTCCATAGTTAAAATTCGTTTAGTAAAAATACAGCTGCAATTTATGTGTGCTATAATCGTACTATTTTTGGGGGATACCCAAACAGATTATGCTCATAAAAATATTGTATGAGGACTTGTTATGAGGTCTGTTAGTTTAAAACTCTGGTATTAGTTCTTTTACCTTAGCTTCAGTTCTTCTTCATGTGATGTTTTAAATTGTTTTTCCCAAAAAGTTTTTATTCTATAATAAAGTGATTTCTCCCCAAAAATAACTGGTTGTTGAAACCTAACATTTTCATTTCTCCATTGAGCAAGAACAAATGAAATTAGATTGATTTTTGTTAGAACATTTATTTTGGTATAGACTGCATGTTATGCTTTTTTGCTCTTGTTGTGAAATTATATAATATTTACTCTGTTTGTAAGCAACTAATTAGGAATAAAATTCTTTCAAAGTCCACTAAATCTAGAAATTTCTAGTGAAGGATGAATATCAAGCTTTTAACAACAATGAATAATTCAATTAAATAATTAATTGTGAATATAATCATAGTATCTAAATCACATTTTTATACGGCAGAGAGACAAGTCGAAGTCTCTTTTAAAATTAATTTGCCACTGCGCTTATAATGAGTCTAAACAAAAACGGATTAAATCTACTCTAATAGAAATTAATTTTATTTCATTTTAATAATGTCTAAATGTGAAATTTTTGGTATCAAGACATTTTCTAATCAAATAGTAGTCAATAGCAAACCTACATTGAAATTTAATTTTACATAAGAGTAAACCTTTTCTTAAGCTTGATTATTATTTTTTGAAATAAATATGAAATTCACTATACGCTAATAGTCACATGCTTGGCCTAGACATTTACATTCATAAGAATTCACTAGTTTTTTGGGAAACTAGGTTTGAATCCGCAGATTATTTTTTTGGGCTTTCATTTAGCACGACTCCACTGTCTCACCTTTCTTTTTGTTTTATATCGGTCTTCTTCATCTCAGGACTGCACTTTTTGATGTCATTGCTGATCAAATTGACCAAGCTCTTTCTCTTTATCCTTCAGCCAATATTGTTGTACTTTGACTTTAATGCTAATCACACTGAATAGCTCAGCTCTAGTGTAAGTAACTCTTCAGGCATTAAGGCCAACAATTTTTGCCTTTCTCAATCTCTAACACAAATAGTCAACTTTCCGGATAATCTGAATCATTTATCTTCTCTACTTGACTTATGTCTTGTTTCTGATCCTTGTCAATGCTCAGTTTCTCCACATGCACACTTAGGTTCTTCTGATAATGGTTTGATCTCTTTAAAGCTGTTATTTTATAAACCATTGTAACATGGTTTTGTCTAACACCAAAACTCGCTATTCCCAGGTCACAAAATATAGTATTTTTTCTCAGAAATTAGGCTCTCGAGACTTCTATAATAGGGGCAAATCTGTTATTCCACCTCTCTTGCACAGTTCAGATTTTGTTACCTCACTTAAAGACAAAGCTGAATTATTCGCTAAGAACTTTTTATTTATCTCATTTCTTGATTCGACCAATCACATTTTACCTGATCTAACCATCAAACAGGTTAATCCATCGCTTGACATTCTTATCACCCCAGCTTCTGTATCAAAAGTGATTTCTTGCTTAAACTTCTTCAGCCTGTGGTCCAGACGACATACCTGTCATAGTCTTGCAGAAGTGTTGTTTGGAGCTGTCGTCTATACTTTCAAAACTATTTAACAAATGTTTATAGAAGTCATTTTTTGCCGCCCTGCTGGAAAGCTGTGTCTGTGTTTCCTATTTTTTAAAATTTTAGATAGCGATCCGACTTGTCTATCTATCATTCCATCAGTCTTCTTACTAGCATAAGCAAGGTTTTTGAGTCTTTAATTAACACACAATTAATCTCTCATCTTGAATCTAATAATTTACTTTCTGATCTGAAATATGGATTTCGATCTTCTCATTCTACTGCTTAATTATTAACGATAATAACTGATAGGTTTTATCGTGTGTTCGATAATTGTGAAGACGCTAAGGCCATTGCTCTTGACATTTCTAAAGCCTTTGATAAAGTTTGGCATTCGGTTCTTTTCCTTAAGCTTTTGTCTTACAGTTTATCAGGTATTGTGTTAAAGATTATTGAATTCTTCCTTACTAATCGTATTATAAAAGTTATACTTTGTGGACAGCATTCTTCTCATTTCCGGTAACTTCAGGGATTCCTCAAGGTTCCATCCTTGGTCCTATACTTTTTCTAATATACATTAATGATCTCCCTGAAACTCCCACATCTTAGGTGGCATTGTTGGCTGATGACACTAATATTTATTCTTGTCTTGATAAAAACCAACACTCTCTGATTGCTTGGAGAGGTATCCAAGCTTAAAATAGATCTGCTACAGCAGATCTATTTTAAGCTACTTCTGCTACAGCATGGGGTTCTCAGTGGCTGGTGAACTTGAACTTAGATAAAACTAAATATTTTTCAGCCAATTGTTATCGCAATAACTTTTATCTTCCTAAATTTATGAACGGTAATATAATTGATGAGTCATCTTCCAATCATCTTTTAGGATTAACTATTACTTCTGATCTTGTATCAAATTGATATCAAAATTAGCATCTTCTAACCTTGCATCTCTTTATCGTGCTTGCCACTTTTAGACTCCTATTTCCATTCTTTATCTCTATAAATAATTTATCCGTCCTTCTACGGAATACTGTTGAAATATCTGGGAAGGATCTTCCGAAGATGCTCTTTCTCTTTTAGACAAGGTGCAAAACTTAGTTGGACCTGCTCTTGCAGCCAACCGCATGTCACCGGGAAATCTTGTAGATAAAATTCTTAAGGTTAATAGAGTGCAAATAGAAAAATCTAAACATGCAGACTTTGACCAACAACTAAAAATTAATAATAAACTTCCAGAGCCACTAAAGTTTTATTCACGTCATGTTTCTTCTTTTATTCTTCGTCATCTCCTGGAACAATATGATAAATATGTCAAGTCTGATTTTAGTTTATATGAGGTTAATAATTTTTATTAAATGTACTCCATTTTTTATTATTTTTTGTTTTTCAATAAGATTTGCTAGTCAATCATTACTTATTTTATGGTGTTTTAGGACAGAGATTCATTACAAATAATCGATCGGCAATCAACTTTTTATAACATAATAGACTGGGTTTGCATCTGTGATGCTGCATCAGGGTTTGGCGTGCCGTGTGCACATGTTCCTTTTGCTCTAAGAATGAAGAATGTAACTGTTAATGATCTACAGTTGATTCATAAAAGGTAACCTTGGGTTTTCTACTAATTAATAATAATAAAGGTTCGTAATATTATATAACTTCATGACCTTATTTAAATTTCAATCCACTTATGTTATAGATTGCTAAAATAATTTTTTAATGCTAAATTGATTGTCTGTTATAGTTCAATAAATGAAATAATTACTTTTATTTAATTGGCTAGAAGAATTCTTTTTTGTGTACACTGAAATAAAAATTTTAGATACATTTTTTAACCTACTTTACACTAGGATAACAGAAATTATTTACATTGACATAAATTTATTTAGGTGGATTTTATGCAATACTGTAGCAAACCAGGTAAGTTTTGACCAAGCGCCATCACATATTACCTCAAATATAGAATTATTACCTCTCTGTTGTGCCACTCCCAAACAAAGATTTACTACAGCAATGAGTTACCTTCAACCAATAGCCTCTTTGCTCGCTGAGATGCCACCCAAAAAATTTGAACTTGCAATAACCTGGTTAGGATCTATTAATCAACAATGCATTTCTGGTGAATGGGAACTGATGGTATGTCAATGGATTTTAGATGCTTTCAGTTTTCAAATCATTAAAGAACTGCATTAGAAAAATGTTGTGTTTATTTTAGTTTCAAAGTGATCCTTGTCTAGAAGTTTTTACACCTGCAGAAGATCACGGTGATCCTTGTCTAGGAGGTTTTACATCTACAGTAGATCAAAGTGATCCTTGTCTAGAAGATTTTACATCTACAAAAGATCTATCATCAAAAGAAATTTTAGAAGTTAAATCACCTTCAAGTGCAGATCCTATGATGACCCCACTTGAATGCATAAATAAAGAAATATGTGAAGTAGTCTCTCAAGAGCCACATATAAATTTAGTTTTAAGGCAACCCCAGCGGAAGCCACCTGGTCGTGTAGGTAAAAACAGAGACTTTTTGACAAAGCTATAAAAGCGTTTGTAAAATTAGGTAGTTTCGAAAAAGATCATATCCCTCTCTGTTGGTTTGTAAAAAGAACAGTTGCCCTGCAGGTTTTACACGAGAGTGCTGCTAAAATTACCAGATTGCTGACCCTAGAGCAAGTCTCGATGACATTAAGCAATATTTTGTAGAGGATGCATGGGCTGAAGTCATCAAACGGTGTGAAGATATGAGGATTGAAAAATGGCCATGTCAAGTATGCGGGCAGTCTAAGGCAGCTGGAAAAAACCAAAAATGGTTTCAGTGTGATCATTGTTTAGACTGGTCGCATTATGTTTGTCTACAAATATCTTGCAAACCTAAAGGATATTGGTTCTGTGCTCAATGTAAAGTAAGGAAATAGTGGAATTTAGGTTCATATCCTAATATAAAATATTTTTAAAAGTTTTTAATATCTATTTATTTAGCGACATAAATAAATAATAAAATGTTTATTATTTATTATTTATAGAAACGGTTAGTATATTATAATATTTATAAAGAGCATACTCCATATTTATTTTTATTTATTTAATATATTATAATATAAATTAATATATTATAAAAAACATTTAAAATAGCTTTTAATTGGCAATTAGCTTTGTGTTTCTTTAGCTAGTGTCCCTTTTTTGCAAAATTCTTGAACCTGATAGTTAAAAATACTTTTTTTGAAATAGCCCTTTATACTACTTTTGAAATAGCCCATGCTACTTTCTAGCGTTTCTTAGTTTAGTCTTTTTTAAGCTTACACTTGAAAATTGTTATATGTAGAAATGATTTTTGCTAATCTCTAAATATTTTTTATTGCAAGCTACATTTTATTGTTTTTGATATTTGTTATTGCTTAGCTTTGAAAAAATTAAATTTCATTATTATTTTTGTTTCTTTGGAAACCATTATTTTAAATCAGATTTTGGAATTTTCAAATTGCTGAATTTTGTAGATTTTTGATTTTTAATTAAAAGTTAGTAATTCCAGGCTAGAATTAGAGGTATTTGAAGAAAATATCAGCTTTTTTAATTAGATATTTTTCTGCTATTTGGTAGAGCATCAGGTTTTGTCGGAAAGTGAGAGTTGCAGCTCATGGGTCATTATTTGAGCTTTGATTAGTCATGATACATTTTTTAAACATTATGTTATGCATTGTATGATGTATTATAATATAATGTATCATATAATCTATAATCTAATGTATCATAGTTTATATCTAAGAAAAAAAAATGACAAAAATGCTTCCTGCATTAAAATAAAGTTAGAAAAAAAGTGCTAGACATGTTGTTAGGCATTTTTCTTTTTTAATTTGTTTCAGAAATTTTATAAAGATACTCTCAGTGCTTAACTTTGATAACGCTCATTTGTTTTTCATATTGCATTCTAGAACTTTTTAATTTTGTTGTGTAAAGTGATTTTTTAACAGTGCAGCTTTATTTTAATTTTATATATTTTCATAAAGTCAACACGAAGTTTATGTTACAGCATGATTTCTTGTTAATTTTTATTTATTAGTTTACTTTGAAAATACATCATGAAAATAAGTGTAACTATTATTAAGTGAAATAATGTGTAACTATTATTTTTAGCAATGTTTCAAAGATTATTATTTTTATCAATGTTTTTAAGTCTAACAAAAGGTTAACCTGTATCTCTGGTAAGACAGGAAGAGTTTTTTATAGTCATTATAGTTGTATTATATATTATAATCAAGGAATGAAATAGAGGAAAAGTTATTTGCATATAATTTATTCTTGGGAGTTATAAGATGAGACCCTTGAGGTAGAGCTGGAGAATTAGATTATCCTTTGTTGTTGACACTGTTAAAGTAAGTACAGTACCTGTTTATTTTCATAAAATTTTTGTTTTGTTGTTGTTGATAATAATTTTTTGAATATGACTTTTTAAGGGAAGTTCATTTGTATTTTATCTTTATGTTCGCCTTTTTTCATTTAAACACTGGTGTGGAAGGTAAGTTTTGTAAGTTATGGAATTTATGCATAGTTATTTGATTTTGTGCTGTTTCATTTGCTTAATTCGTTTTAGATTAGTTGAAGAGAGATTCAGACACGTAGGCTTTACTCCTTTTATTTAATCTCTTTGTTTACATCTTTACAAAATATTTTACTTTAATTAATTGTAAAATCAACCATTGTTTTTAATTTAGTTATGAATGAGTCTATGAATTAGTCTGATAGCGAACAAAAAGTTGCATTCTTTATCACAACTTTAAGATGTACAAGACTCAAAGTTTCTTATATCTTTATTGTTCCCAATATTCAACATTGCATTATGTTGAAAATATTGGAAACCATAAAAATCTATGAATTGAAAACTACAAACTAATTAGAAAAACAGAAGTTATATCATCTTCAATTTAAATTGATTACTTAAAACCACACGATGTTTTTCAATAACCCAAACAACGACTGCTACATCAGCAGCAGCAGTATCAAAAAAAGCAGGTAAATTGATTTTGTAGTTTTTATACATGGATTATTTTTTTTCGGATGTTCCCGGTATTCCGGGTATTTTTCAAGACTTTTTGTTTTCCGGATATCCTCAATTATTTCAATGCATACAAGTTTAAGTATGCATTTGTGTAAATGTTTGGAGTTTTTTAGTCATCACTCATACAAAAAAATGATAAAATTAACTCAGCTGAAGGCAAAAATTAAGAGAAAAATATGAGAAAAAATATTATGCATATTGTACGCAAAGAAATTTCAGGATTTTTAAATTATGACCTGGACGATCTATGTTTTATAAGTGGTGTCTTCTCACTTTTTGTATGCATGAAAAAAGGAAAAACTTTTTAACTTTTTTCAAGACTTAATTTTGAAACACTTTCTGTAATGAGGGTTTATTGTTAAAAAAAGCATTAATGGAACTGTAGCTGACACCGTTTTTGTGGTAGCTATTTATGTTATATGTTTATATATGTTATATGTTTGCTAAAACTTATAATACTTATTTATTCACTATTTATATTGTATCAATAATATATATTTCTGAACAAGGTCTTACAGTCAAGGATACTTACAATTACTTCAAAACTAATATAAAGTAAAAACCTAACGATAATCATATTAAATAATATTAGTGATACAAATAAAAATTATAAAGATAATAGTTATAAATTATCAACACCAATAGCAACAAAAATGGTTTAAATTATAATAAAAATAAATCAATATTTTAAAAGAATAAATTAATATTATATACATAAACAGGGAAAAAAAATAACAATGGTTAATTAATATTTACAACATCTATAATCATAAAATATTATTTGACCACAAACAAATATTAACTTTATTAAATGATTATATTTATTATAAGTTAAATATCTGATGCTATGTGTTATTATTGTAAGTAATTAATGTGTTGTCGTGTTTTAGTGTTGCTAGATAGCTTGACTTAATTTCCCGCTGTTGTCTATCTTTAAAAACGACTATAACTTGTTTCATTACTGGAACTCACAACTTCTAATTTATCACTAAAAGATTTTTCTTAGTAATTGGTTTAAAGCTGAATTTGATTTTTATCTTAAGACCGAAGAAGTTGCAAAATCTGTCATTACTGCGAACTGGCATAGGCGCAAATCAGTATAAGTGCACCATAAGAACTTATAGACATCAGCTTAAGTGCGAACTGGTATAAGTGCGATGCAGTTGCATAGAATGGCATAAGTGCAAGTGGATTAAGTGCGCCAAAAATATTGCAAACACTGCTATGAGTGTGCATCATCATAAGTGCGAACTTATAAATAAAATTTTATTAATAAGTATTTATTGGACTCCTGCAACAAAATTAATATATATACGGTAAAAAAATATATATGACAATTTATTTTCTGAGATATATTCCTCAATTACTTCCACTCTATTAACAACTCCTCGCCTGGGTTTTTTATGTTACTTAGCTAATACATTTCAATGAGCATTATGCTTTTCCCTTTCAAAATAACAACATTTTTATTATTTTAACAGTTTCCTCGTGAATTTTCACTGTACGTAACTTTTTAAACTAATTTTCACTGTACTGTAACTTTTTAAACTAATTTTCACTGTAACTTAAAAGCTTTTCTGATAAATACGGTGAATTTTCACTGTACAGTGAATTTTCACTGTATTTAGCGAAAAACGTTTCCTTAGGTACAGTGAATTTTCACTGTATTTAGCGAAAACGCTTATTTAGGTACAGTGAATTTTCACTGTATTTAGCGAATAGCGCTTTCTTAGGTACAGTGAATCTTCACTGTATTTAGCGAAAAACGCTACCTTAAGTACAGTGAATTTTCACTGTATCTAACACCAAGCTATATATATATATATATATATATATATATATATATATATATATATATATATATATATATATATATATATATATATATATATATATATATATATATATATGGGCCGGCGCGAGTAGGTGTCACGTTAGGGAGTGGGGGGGGGGGGGGAAGGTGCCATTACAACTTTAGCCGATTAAAAGAAAAAAGTCCTCGTTTTCCAAAATTTGCCGACTGTCATGACGACATTTGCCGACTGTCTAACCTATATCGAAAGGGTCGACATTTGCCGACTAACTAGTCCCATTTGCCGACTAAGGGTCCAGTTTGCCGACTAAAAATCATTGATGGGGGGGGGGGGTCACAACCCCCACACCCCTATCGCGCCGGCCTTGTATATATATATATATATAATATATATATATATATATATATATATATATATATATATATATATATATATATATATATATATATATATACAAGGCCGGCGCGATAGGGGTGTGGGGGGTGTGACCCCCCCTCCATCAATGATTTTTAGTCTGCAAACTGAAGAAAGAGCAAAAAGAAGACAAATTTTTTTTTTTTTTTTTATAAATTTGCCGTTTAAAATAATTACAACTCACGTATTTGTAAAATATACACATGGCGGGGGCAAGAAGAAGACAAAGTAGTATCATCGCCAAGCCCCCAAAAAGTGTATCGCTGCGAGTAGGGTTCGAACCTACGCGGGAAGATCCCATTAGATTTCAAGTCTAACGCCTTAACCACTCGGCCATCGCAGCCCTGATGCCTTTCCGCCAAATTCCCGTTAGATTGGCGTAAACGTTTTAAATATTTACAATCGAAATAAATAATTAATAAAATAGTATATACTAGTGTTCGGCACAAATTCAAATAGTTTGATCAAATATGCGTCAAATGTTTGAAATGGCCAAATTCAAATCTTCCTATTTTGAATTTAGATCAAATTCAAATCTTTCCAAGATTTGATGTATATTTGAACGTTATTTAACTTATTTCATTTATTAATTTTAGTTATCTGAATCTATAAATTTTATTCATATTGCAGCATTTGTTACTATTTCTCACACATTACAGCTTCTTTTATTCTTTTTAATCCAATCAAGACTTCAAGCACTGGCAAGCTTGAATGGTATCTGCAGAGAGAAGATTTCTTTTGTCAGTAATAAGATTTTTTCCTAATGAGAAGAGCCTTTCTGATGATACAGATGTAGCAGGAATGGCCAGGTAATCTCTGGCCATTCTGGATAGGTTTGGATATTTGTCAGATCGAGATTTCCACCAAAGTAATATGTTGCTATTATTGCCGCCATCTAGCTTACTTGTATCATTA